CCAAAATCTGAGCTCGGTAGCCACAAAGTCCACTCTCGGTCAAACTTCTCAACTTTCCAAATTTTAACTTTTCTAAATTTCGTCAATTCAAGCCAACATCATCTACGGACCTTCAAATCAATTCCGGACACACTTCTAAGTCCAAAATTACCATACGGAGTTATGGGAACCATCAAAACTTAATTATTGAGTCATTTACACATAAGTCAGCATTTGGTCAACTATTTTAACTTAGGCTTCCAACCATGAGACTAAGTATCCCAACTCATTTTGAAATATCCCCGGAACCAAACCAGCCACCAAGGTAAGTCACATAACGACAAATGAGCATAAAATAAGCAGTAAATGGGGAAACGAAGATATAATACTCAAAATGACCGACCGACTCATTATAATCTAATAGTAACGTTTGTATCAAAACATATACACAAAATAACAAACAACAAGATTTAACGTGTTAATAAAAAATGAGAGGGTGGAAAAGGGATGTATGTCACACCTCCTTTTTCACGTAGGGGCATAAGGGAGTTTTTCCAATTAAAGTGAAAATAATCGAAATGGGATTATTTATTTTAAATTCAGAGCCACCATTTGGAATAATTTATGGTGTCCCAAGTCACCGGTTTATTTTATATCCCAAATCGAGTAAATTGACTCTATTTATGGTCTGCGAACACAGAAAACTGATCACTTCCAACTATGCCTTATAAAAGACAAATCGGTCGTTGCAAATATGATCCGGTTAACAAGTCCGGAGTCGAATTCTCAAGGAACTAACCTATCTATTACAACGCTTAATGGTGCTAGTACAAGCTCAAACAATTTCCGAAATGCAATATTTTTAGCAATAAATATTGGGATTTGTTTAACTAAGTAAAATGATGTTAAAACTAACAATAAATTAACGATAATTCAATGGTAAAAAGATCTAGGGTATTGATTTTCCCAATTGCTAGATTATTTCTTAACTCTTTTGCTATAATCTCGCCGTAATACTCTATGAGGATTATGAGCTATGGGTTACCGCAATTATCTCTCGATCAACTACGATAATTTACTAGAGCATTCTCTCGAACTACTCTAGCTGAGAATTTATGCAGCTTTGAATTATCCCACCAAAGTTTCTTTATGTCTAACCCCACTTTTAAATTCAAGTAATGAATCTCTTCAATTACCCAAAAGTGGTGTTGTTCAACAACAATCTAACCAAGTATTCTTTCTCAAGCAACACAAGGCGATTAGACACGATTAATCAAGTGCCCATTCAATTAATCACCATACAAAATATAGTTGAACAATCATATAATAAACCCAGCTCCATTATAACAAAACAGAGTCAAAACTTCATCTAACAATTGGTTCCATCAACCCTAGACTAAATAATTAGCTACGCATAATTGTTTTCATAATCACAACAGCAAAATTCATAATCAATGATCAACACAAAAGGAAGAAAGATAGAACTCGATGCCGAATTTTTCTCCTTGCCTCTTGCCTCTTCTTGCCTTCAACAAAACTCTAAAAACCTTGATATCCTCTCTTTGGGCGACTTGGGCTTCTTATATGTTAAGGAGATTTGCCCTCGAACTTCCAAAATTACTCTTGGAAATAAGGTTCAGCGAACTGACGAGCGCGACCGCGCTTGGACCGGGCATATCGCGTTCTATTCTGCCTGGACTAGCGCGGCTGGAGCACGCTCACGCTTAGCCCGCGCTCGCGAGGTTTAGCTGTTTTCTCCTTTTCTCCTTCTTCTTTCACGCGCATTCCCCTCCGAGTGGCTTTTCTTGCTCCAAATTAGCTCCAAAAGCTATTCAATGTCCTCATAATCAACACTTGCTCCTACAAAGCACAAAAACCTCAATCAGAGCATTTTGTTATCATTTAGAACTTAAAACATCAATAAAGTATGGTTAATTTCGAGCATAAATAGCATCTGCATCGCATAATATATGCTACTATCAACACCCCACACTTAAAACCGTTGCTAGTCCTCTAGCAACGAAACCACACTCTATAGGCCTAATCATCATTGGGTCACTTCCCTACTCCTTATACTAAGAATAATTCCCATAGATAGACTACCTTAGCGTAACATCCTAACCTCAAGAGTGGACTCTCTCTAGCCACGTAATGTCCCTAACCGGCTTTCATACTCTCAGTCAGAGGTCCAGACTTACCTTCCATTCATGAATCACGTGCCTACTCACCACAAAATAGACTTGCGTCATGGTCATTGTAATTCACACACTAAGGAATTCAAATACGTAAGATTCAACTCACCCTCAGAAAGAAATTCTTATGCCACAAACAACGCACCATAGGCTCGCCCGTAGTGCAATACTCGACTAATCGAGCTCATTTGGTCTAGAATCAAGTAGGACTTTGATGTTTTATACTTCAATACCACACAAGAGGGGGGGGGGGGTGATTTGTGTGGTGTCTAATTTTTTGCTTAAACTGATTATGGAAGGACCTGGTTCTTCTATGTGTTCCTTCTGCTACTGTTGCAGAATAATAAATGTAAAAAGTAAAAAACACAAGTATTTTTACGTGGAAAACACCCGGCTCAAAAGGTGAAAAAACCCACGACCTACTACTCAGTAGGATTTCCCCAACACTTCACTAAATCACTGAGCCAAAACAGCATTTACAAAACTCTTTGTAAACCTAAGGATTACCTCTAATCCCGTTGTAGCAACCGACCTCTAACTGCTGCTACAACTTCAAGTTAACTCTAACTTGAATACTCAAAGTACCTATTATAATTGCTTCTAGATAAAGCTGAAAGGTACAATATGAAGACACCTACTACAATTGAACTAGAAATAAATAAAGACACATAAAACTCTTTGTGGAGCTGGTTCTTCAATCTGGTTCATGTAGCGTCAGGTTTGCACACTTGAATCACACACGAACTGCTTGCAAAAAGCCTTGCTATTTTGCTCTCAATTCATGTTTAACTTCTGCGTTTTTGTGCAACACCTGTAAAAGAAAATAACACTGATATTTAAGAAGCCAGTAATTAGAGATTGATTGGGATACAGACGCTACTCTTCTATGGTAGAAGAGTTCTAGTTGATCTCATACTCTAACACTATCCTCTTCCTAAACTGTGTTCTCTTCGTGTAAGGAGTCTTTCTCTCCTTGTCCAATATGCAACCTTTTCGATCAGATCAGGAGATATTACTTCTGATAAGTTAGATTTATCTCCTTCACGTGCATCTCACATGTTTGGGTTGATCATGACTGTGTTTCACAAGATGGACCTGGTCCATGTTTGAGTTCTTTTGTCAGTCTTCAAAACTTCACATTTGCTTGGACCAACAAATTCCCCCTTTTTGATGATGACAAACTCTGTGCTTTCTACTCACTTAGACCCTGTAAGAACTCAACTTGACCATCAATACAAAGTTTAGAAAATTCACTTATCGTCAAGGACCAGGTTAATTAAGTTATGAATATCACTTATTCAGAATATGTAAAGCACAATATCTTTTCCCCCTTTTGGCATCATCGAAAAGTTGCATACACAAAGTGTGAGTCCTAGATTTTAATAATTACTCATGGCCACTGGGACTGCTTCAAGTGCAATCATGGATTAATCATCAGTAATCAAGCAAACATATTTAAACTATCAAGGAAATATTAACGTTCAACAAGAGCGAAAACAGTAGATATCATTGATGGAAGATATGTTGCTACCACAATCCACAACCAGAAAGCAAAAAAATTCAAAATATGAGCAAAAAGAAGGAAAAATCCCTAATCCGGGTCACTGAAGGTACTAGAAAGGTTCAGGAGATAAAAGCTAGAATTCCTAAGGCTTGGGGGAGCTAGAGGGTTGGAATTGGGCTTGGAGAAGATTCAGCATATTGTGAAGAATTCCATCATTCTTCTCCTTTTCCTTGGTAAGCTCAGTTCTGAGAGCATCCCTCTCAGATTCCACCTCTGCCACACGAGCCTTTAGCCTAGCTATCTCAGCATCCTTGGCCTCACTTTCCTGAACAAGAGCCATGACTTTACTGTTGATAGGTGTCTTCTTGGATGAACTAGGTTCATTTGGAATGGCATTGACTAATTAGTCACAAGCAAGCAGAGTATTAATACCAAAGTAATCCTTGCTTGTGGCCATTTCCCATTTCTTCAGAGGCACATTGCACCTGTCCAGAACCGTATTCAAAATAAAGCCATAGGGGGTAGCATGAGCCTTGGCACCATTGATAACCCTGTCCAGTATCTTGATGATGAATGCAGGCCAGTTAATTTGCCTTCCACTTCAAGGCACTCCATCAGAACTAAGTCCATATAATTTGCAATATACCTTCTCTCCTGCCTGGGCAGTAGGTACTTGTTGACAAACTCAAAAATGACTTTGTGTTGTGGCTTCATTTCACTCTTGTGCACAAACTTGGCCTTATTCACTTCTGCAACATCACAGAATCTCCTAGTAATTGTAAGGGCAGACGGAAGGGAATCCACACTTGGCCATCTCTGTCTGGTGTAATCATCATATCCCTCAGCAAGGATGTCTAGAATCTCTCCCAGCTTCTCTGCATCAAATGTCACCAGAACTCCTTTGACTTTGCTTGTAGCTTTGCCATCTTTGACTTCAGCATTTGCCATGAATCAATGATTTCATTTCTGGCCAATCTCCCATCCATCTGAAGGACCATGTCCTTCCAACCTTGAGCAGCTAGGGTGTCAACCAAACGAACCATTCCTGGTTCCACCAAATCTTTTAGCAATCTTCCCTTCAAAATTTTCCTTTTGCCAAACTTGGCCAGCTTGTCTTGTTCACCATCAGACTCATTTTCTTCTTCACCACTCCATTCCTCTTCTTCAGAAACTCTAACTTGTTTGCTTTTTATTGAAGACCTCGTCCTCTTGGCCAGTGAAGGTTCAGCAGCCTCAGACACAGAGGAAGACTTCTTGGAAGAAGTCTTGGTCTTTTTGGGCTTGGGTGTCTTAACCTCCATTGTTGCATGGTCCTCCGGATGGACCTATTCTATCTCCTCAACATCAACTGCTTCAGAGGACTCTGCAACCTTATCTTTTCCTTTATCCGTAATTTTCTTATTACTTTCAACCACAGCCTGTTGTAGGTCTCTCTCACTCTGTTTCACCCTACTTCTTGTTGCTCTTCCCTTTGGCAAGGTAGTTTCTGTAGTTGTTGGGGAGGAAGCCTTTCGTTTCTTGGAAGGTTTAGCAGCACTGGGGGTTTTGGTGTGGGAGTTCTTCTTTTCTTTGGATCGTAACTTGCACCTACCTTTTTCAGAAGGTCTGTTAGGGTCTCTTCAATTGATGAACCAGTTTCATCTCCCTGTGAACTTAAATTAACTAACCCCTCAGCAGCCTCCCCTGAACCGCTTCCCCCTAATTCTTGCTACTTTCATCAACAGTTTCTTGTGCAACCCCATAAATAGCAGGTATAGGCAATTCAGTAGTGGGTGAATGATCAACCACTCCTTTCCCTTTTCCCCTCACGTCACCACATTCACCCTCGCTCTCTTTTTCTTTTTGAAATTTCTTTTTACCTCCACTCCTTCCTGACTCAGGTTATTCCACATTCCTTATAGATCCAACATACACAAACCAATTTTCTAAATTATTAGTCAAAGAAGAACTTACCTTAGAAAGGGATTTTTGAGCCTTCTCAGAGTCAGAAGACCCAGGTCCTTCCCCCTCACTAGCAGATTTGAACAAATCAGACTCAGAGTCAGAATCAGAATCTTGGGCCTGACTTACCTTTAATTTTTCATTTAATTTCTTTGAAATAGTACCAGATGCCACCGTTCTGCGAGCAAGCATTTTTACTCTCCTTCGCCTGGGTTGGGGAGTCGTGGTAGGTGAAAGAGTGGTAGATGAATCAGAGGAAGTTAGTTGTGGAGGAGTTCCAGGGTTGTCTTGTGGGTTCGTCATTGTAGCTTATTGCTTGAGAGAATTTGTGTGTTAAACCTTTGGAGAAGAAAGAAATTGAGAGTAAAGAAGGTTTTTGACGTTTTGAATTATGAGGATGGCAGGAAGTAATAATGAGTATTTAAAGAGAAAGACTCATTTAATGAATAACGGTAGCTTTAGCAGTCAACTAGAGGTCTAGTCAACCTGAAATTGCAGGTTGAACGAACGGTTAGGCTTCCCTAGATTTTAGGCAATTTTTGTTGTTAGAATTCTAATGAGGACGGAACTGGTTAAAAAACAAACGGATTGGATTTTCTAATGAGTTGAACAATGGTAGGACTCTTCTCATGATTTAAATATTTATATTTCTAATTGTGTAGAGTATAGAAAAGATACGTTGGCATTCAGATGAACCAATACTGATGAACCAGGTTCTTCATTTAGAATTTTCTTGATCATGCCTCAATTTATCACAATAGAGAAAATTTTGTAGGAGATCAGTGAGTCATAGGAGTATACTATTTACAGTATGAAGCTGAGTAAAAATTAATCTAGATATTTACACAAGTTCAGATTTCCTAGCTAATTTTTTTTTCATTGTGCATTCTGAGCTGGTCCCATTAGGTGATCTTAATCATCCCTAATTCCAACATGTTCCTTTCAAAGCTTTCTCTACTCGGTGCTTTAGTAAAGATGTTAGCAATTTATTTATCAGTAGCACAGAATTCTATGGTAATCAATCCTTTCTCATAGTTATCCCTTAAGAAGTGATGTCTAACATCTATGTGCTTAGTCCTCTTATGATGAACAGAGTTCTTTGTCATACTAATAGCACTAGAGTTATCAGAGAAGATATGAATGCAACCAACTTCAATGCCAAAATCTATCAAGTGCTGTTTGATCCACAGCAATTGAGCACAACAAGAGGCAGCAACAACATATTCAGCCTCAGCAGTAGATAAGGCCACTAAATTCTGTTGTTTAGTGGCCCATGATACAAGACATGAACCAAGAAAATGAGCCATACTTGAGGTGCTCTTCCTATCCACAAGGAAACCTACATAGTCACAATACCCCACTAGATTGAAATTACTACATTTAGGGTACCAAAGACAATCAGTAGTGCCTTTCAAATATCTCAGTATCCTCTTGACAACAGTCAAGTGAGATTCCTTAGGATTTGCCTGAAAACGAGCACAAAGCCCTACACTGAAAACTATGTCAGATTTGTTAGCAGTAAGAAACAAAAGTGAACCAATCATACCCCTATACAACTTGTGATCAACAGATGAACCAGGTTCATCTATGTCTAATTTAGTAGTTGTTGCAAGGGGTGTGTATATTTCCTTTGATTCATCCATTTTAAACTTTTTAATCAACTCTTTTGCATATTTCTGCTGATGGATCTAGGTTCCATTTGGGTTTTGTTTGATCTGTAAGCCGAAAAAAGTTAAGCTTACCCATCATACTCATTTTAAACTCACTCCCTATTAATTTGGCAAAATCCTTACTTAGTTTGTCAGTGGTTGCCCCAAAAATTATGTCATCAATATATATTTGCACTACAAGAAGATCCTTACCCTTTTCCCTCAGGAATAGAGTATTGTCAATTTTACCTCTTTTGTATCCATGTTCAAGCAGGAATTTGGACAGTCGTTCATACCATGCTCTAGGAGCCTGCTTGAGTCCATAGAGAGCCTTGTCTAATTTGTACACATGTTCCGGACGCTCCTTGCTCTCAAACCTTGGAGGTTGTTTGACAAACACTTCTTCTTTTAGGTAGCCATTTAGGAAGGCACTTTTGACATCCATCTGATGAAGAGTGAATTCCATGTGTGCTGCAAAGGCTATGAGGAGTCTTATTGCCTCCAGTCTTGCAACTGGAGCAAATGTCTCATCATAATCTATGCCCTCCACTTGGCTATAACCTTGGACCACCAGTCTTGCCTTGTTCCTTGTAACTGTTCCATCTTCATCAAGCTTGTTTCTGAAGATCCATTTAGTGCCAATTACTGATCTGTCCTTGGGTCTTGGAACTAGATGCCAAACTTGACTTCTCTCAAACTGATTGAGTTCATCTTGCATTGTATTTACCCAATCTGCATCTTGCAAAGTCTCAGCAACATTTTTAGGTTCAATAAGAGATAAGAAAGCATCAAAAGCACACAGATTCTTTAATTGTGATCTAGTTTTAACTCCAGATGTTGGATCGGTAATTATGTTCTCAATGGGATGAGAACTTTGATACTTGTAAGGTTTCACAACTAACTCATTTCTGCTTGATGTTTCTCCTAGGGGTGTGCATTCGATTTATCGATTCGATTTTGACCCTTATCGATAATTACTTATCGATTATCGATTTTGTACATATGCTTATCGTTATCATTTCAATAAGGTTTCGATTTTTTCGATTACGATTTATCGATTTTTGGGGCTTATCGGTTTGCTTATCGATTACACCAATAAGAAAATTTGCGGGATAAAACAGAAAGTATATCGCTATAAACACGCCTAACTAATATGGACAAAAAGAAGCTAAAATAAGACGAACACCGTTTATAACATAAAAATTGTGTCAACAAGCACATGCAACGAAACTAAAGTAAGGGATCAAATGTATGCCACCAACACTCCAACGGTATAAAAAAATAAAAATACATCATCATGGCTAATTCTATTTCTATTAATTTGAACTTCATTCCCTTGAGCTTTAAATATGTTCATTCCTTAAATGTGGTAGATGAAATAATAGGGTTAGGGACTTAGGGTAAAGGAAAGGGTATTATATAATAAGGGTAAAAAAAATTTAGTATATCTTATCGGGTTATCGATAACCGAAGAGGACAAAATCAAAATCGAAATCGATAACTCGATAAGGAATATTTCGAAATTGAAATCGATAAATCGATAAACCGATATCTATAAACCAATAACAAATAATCGATTCGATTTATCGATAAACCGATTCGAATGCACACCCCTAGTGTTTCCCTTGTTTCGTTGCTGAGGAACAGGGTCATGAACAAGTTCCATTAGGGGATTGGTTTCAGTTCTTCTTTGTTCAGTTCCCCTGTCAGGTTACCCTGGATGGAAAAACCCGTTCCATCACTTGTTCCTTCTTTTGGTGCATCTTTAGCTTGAGCTGAGACTTTACTCAATTCTTTTACCAGCCCAATAACTTCATCTTCATGTTCCTGCCTCTCAGAAAGAATGTTAGTTTCATTAAAAACTACATATACACTTTCTTCTACACACAAAGTTCTTTTGGTGTACACTTTATAAGCTTTGCTATGTGAAGAATATCCCAACAATACTTCCTCATCACTTCTGGGATCAAACTTACCTAGTGAGTCCTTTCCATTATTGTGCACAAAGCACTTGCATTCAAATGCCCTAAGATGGGATACATTATGTTTTCTCCCTTTAAGTTACTCATAGGGAGTCTTCTCTACAAGAGGTCTAGTCATGCATCTATTAATGATGTAACATGCAGTATTTACAGCCTCTGCCCAAAAGCTGTGGGGCAGTTTACTAGAAAGAAGCATAGTCCTAGCCATATCTTCAAGAGTCCTATTCTTTCTTTCAACTACTCCATTTTGTTGAGGAGTCCTAGGGGTAGAAAAATTATGATCTATACCATGCTCATCACAAAATTCAGCAAACTTAGCATTTTCAAATTCAGTCCCATGATCAGACCTGATTGATGCAAGTTGAGTACCTAGTTGTTTCTGAGTTTTTCTAACAAAGGCAGTAAACATGTCAAATGCTTCATCCTTAGATGTTAAAAACAGTACCCATGTAAACCTAGAATAATCATCAACAAGTACCATCACATATTTCTTACCACCTCTGCTCAATGTTCTCATTGGACCACAGAGATCCATATGAACCAGTTCCATCGTCCTGGTTGTGCTTACCATTTTCTTGCTTTTAAAAGATGATCTTACCTGCTTCCCCCTTACACAAGCCTCAAAAACTTTGTCTTCCTTGAACTTGATGTTAGGTAACCCTATCACCATGTCCTTGGAGACTAATTTATTGAGTTGATTCAGACTTGCATGACCAAGTCTTTTGTGCCACAGGAGGGGATCATTGTCCAACACACTCAAGCAAGTGAGTTCATTTTCTGAAAGAGTGGAAAAATCTACAATGTAAATATTGTTAACTCTTTTTTCCTGCAAAACAATCTTGTTAGTGTTAAGATTAATCACAAAGCATTTGGTAGAGGTAAATGCTAAAAGGTTACCTCTGTCACACAGTTGTGACACACTGACTTACCAACTTTTCCAACCCCAATAATCTCACCTTTCTTCCCATTTCCAAAGGAGACATTACCTCCTTTTAAGTCCTCAAGTGAAAGGAACTGGTTCTTGCTTCTAGTCATATGTTTTGAGCAGCCACTATCCATGTACCATATTTGGCTACTTCCCTTCACTTGGACCTGCAATAAAAAATCAGGGGTTAGTATTAGGAACCCAAACTAGTTTGGGTCCCTTTCTATAGGCAAAGGGGTAAATTAAATTCCTTTTGGCCCATCCAGGCAGCCTATTTTTCTCTTGAACAAAGCTTTTTTTCTTTTAACTGGCTTTTCCTTTGCATTACATTCACTTTTGTAATGACCAGTCTTTCCACAGTGTGTGCCGATTTTGTTTTCAGGAAGAGTGATGTACTTACTTTTGGGATCCCATTTAGGTGCTGTGGTCCCATAGCCAAGCCCTCTCTTATTGCTATTGTGGTGTTCTTGTAGCCAGGATAGTGCATCGGAAGACTTATTCCATTTGCAAGTTCTGTCTAGTTCATGATTTACCTTCCCTAGGTCTTCTTTTAAGACTTTTATTTGTTCATCTTTCTTGTATAGCTCACCCTTCATTTTTCCTAGATTTTCTTCTAAGGTGACACGTGTGTGATCAACTTTCTTCTTACCTGTTCCTAATTTCAGTTTTAAATTTTCAAACCTAAGTTCTAAGACACTGGTGTCAAGTTCAAGAACCTGGTTCTTTAACTTAGCATTTTTACTGTCA